GCCTCCCCAGACACACAACTTTGTGAGTACTTCTTATCACCAAGCCAGTAGGCAGCATCATGATAGATAAAGAAAGGATTGAAACTAGCAATAATTTCATTTTGCTTGGATTCCCAAACACCGTCCTTGGTACTAGCAGGTGTTTTGCTATGAGCAAGTCTGCTGTCAGGGACCTTTCCAAAATCCTGGAGTGCAAAGACTTAACGTGCCCCTGATTCAGGCCGTGGTCTTTTCAGTTACTTGTTATGCATCTGAGAGTTAGACAGTGAATAAGGGTGACAGAAGAATTGATGCCTTTAAGTTGTGTTGGGGAAGAGTGGTTCATCCAAGGGACTGCCAAAAGAAGAAATAGATATGTCTTGGAAGTGCAACCAGAGTGCTTCTTGGAGGCAAGGATGGTGAAGCTTTATCTCATACTCTGGACATGCTGCTAGGAGAGGCTATTCCTAGCAGCTGAATATGAAAGGTATATCATGTTTGGAAAGGTGAAGTGTCAACAAAAGAGAGGAAGACCCCCAATAAGGAGGTTTTTTGACACAGTGATTGCAGCAGTGAGTTCAAGTGTATCAGATGAGGAAGATGGCACAGGAAAGGACAAGATTTAGACCTATTCTTCATAAGGTCATTGGGTCATACACAACTTGAGGGCGCCTCACAACAACAACTTCATTCCTGCAGAGCCCATGGGGTAAGGGTGGACAACCCTCGGGTCTGGTTGTCACTGTGAACTACAAAGATGTGAATGGTTATGTATTCCAACATGCTGTCTTCAGTCAAGCTGTAGTAATTATTGAAAGGGAAGACGAATTAGATGGAGAAACAGTTTTCATGTACTTCATCAATTCCTAGAATCTGGAAGGCACAGGAAACCCATACATAAATTAGAAATGGGTCCATCAGATCAGAATGGTGTGGATGTGAGTTAGATTCCTCAGGAAACTTTGAATCAGATCAGTAAATCTTGATCAAGAAGGTTATACAGGAAATGAACACAAAAGATCAGTGGGATCTGATGAGTAAGTGTTCCTTTGTGCAACAATTCAATCTTTATTTAACCTGACTTCATGGGTATTTGTTTTGTTTTGTTTTGGTTTTTGGTGGAGTTGTCTGATGGTAATTAATGCAGAGAAAGACATTATCACCGTAGAAGGCATATACTACTTTGTGGACTGGTCTATGGTGATAAGTTGTTGAAAGTGCACTCTATTTGTCTTTCTAAAGTAACAAATTTGGATTTCTTAAAAACCATTAGAATCTATTATTATGTGTGTGTGTTTGTGAGTGGTGGGTCTCAGGAGAATCATAGTTGAACAACCTGAAGCAGGCTTTTAGAATACTAATTATAATGCTGTAGTCCCATCCTTATTGACATCTTCTGATATTCTCTCCTAAGTCAAACCCAATGGCCATTTACCCAGCATGATCATAGATGTCATAGTTTAGACTATTTTAAAGAGAACAATTTCTTCTTTAGAATAGGTCAGATCTCCATTAATGGTGCAAATTAGCATGTAATTGTCATTGTTGCTGTTGTACAAGTAATATTCTAAAAGCATTAACAGGAGTGACTGCTTTTTACCAATACAACTGTTTTGGTATTTTAGTGTAGCGCATGCATTTGGGATACTTCTCAAAGGAGATTAGAATTGAGGGGCCTGTAACAACAAAATTGTGAAATGTAACTCTTTTGTCTTTGATATCTAAGATTCAACCCATCCACAAAGGAATGGCACCCAGAGTCCAAAACGGAACAATGATTTTTAAATGTGTTCGGCATTTTTTAGAGATGATTTTTTTTTCTCCTTGTAAACCACCTTGACTGAACAACTTCCTTGGTCTATGGACTAAGCAGAAAGTGAAATTACAAGGCTAGATATAGGTCCCAGCCAGTTCTAATATATAAGTACTTTTATTTTTTTTTTTTTTTATGTGTGTGTGTGTGTTATAATCAGTTGCTTGGGGATTTGGGTTTGGAATGAACTTTTATATCTGAAGAATTCAAAAAATGTGAGCACCTTAGTTTCTCAGAAACACAATTAAATTGGACTCCACAAAACCATCTTGCTCTAAATAATGAGTTACGTTTACCTTAAGCGAAGCATGAACTAAAATAAGGACAAATAGATTTCCCTACCTTCCCCCTGCCCAACCCTCACTCATTATCACTTTGGGTAGAATCGAGTGTCTGTCTTTGGTTTGGTTGGGTTTTTTAATAAATGTAACTAACTTTACTGAATAATTTGTATGGAAATGGTCACATGTGAAACTAACTTACTGTATAAACATTCACCAAAAATAAAGTGAATATTATTTTTAAAATGGAAGTAAGAAAGATGATCCTTTGAGGATGGCAAAGGGTGAGACTTGGGGAACAGGCCTATGATCTGGATAGGATCAAGTGTCTTCAGGTGTGCAAGGCCCCCTACGCCCCTACAAGGTACACATTTCTTTCGGAACTCATGCCCTTAATCACTTTGGATAGGAGCGGACAGGAATATCAGATCACCCAAATTGACTTTCCTAGACTATAAACATTTTATACCTGTTAAATTAAAAAACTAATACTCCGAGTCTTAAAAATTCTGTAAGGCATTCTACTCTGTCCTTCCAGGGCTGCTGTAAGTCAGAATCAACTTGATAGCAGTAAATTTTATTTGTTTGTTTATAGCATATTTTGTCATCCCTCTCTAAATTTGCATTTCTACAACGTAAAGTTCAGAGAGACTGGGAGACTTGCTTGACGTTTCCTAGCTAATTTATGACCCAAACTCATGAATCATGATCCCTAGTCTTTACCACATCATCAATTGTATTTACTTCATGTGTGTACACATATCTGTGTACATCAGTGTACTGCAATGCGAAAGAATTGCCTACTAGACAGTTGTGACTCATGGCGGTCTTTGAGTTGGAAATAACTTGATGGCAGTTGGTTTGGGTTTGGTTTTGGTTTTGTAGCTAGGAGTTTACTTAAATTGATGCTTGGGAGGGGAATGACCTGATGAGAAAGAAGAGATAGGCAGGTGAAAAAGAAAATCATCATGAGCAACCGATTTACAAAGAAACTGATTACTATACGTCTGACTTACTATCTACTGGAGTTCTGATGAACCAAGCTTAGGCCTGTCTGGTGGGGTTTGTTTGTTTGTTTGTTTGTTTTAGTACATCTTATCATTAGTAATATATACGATGTACAGTATTACAGATGTAAAGTGCTGGTGTTGTCTTTCTCAGGTATTCTCTCACAGATCTTCATTGGTATGATTTGCTGTTTTAAATACTGCTATATAGCAGGTATGACTTGGTCCAGTATGAAGTTGGAGTTGAAAGTCACAAGAGATAAAAGTTGAGCAATATTCACTTCTGGTGATGACATATATAGCAGTTGAACTGAGTATGCCTAATAGATGTATCAGTACTGGTATTAACTTTCTCATAAACCAGTCTTAGAGTATGGACTTAATGTTTTGTAATTTCAGAAGGATCAAGAGATAATTTTGTTGTTGTTGTCGTCATCGTCGTTGTTGTTAGGTGCTTTTGAGTTGTAGACGACTCATAGCGACCCTATAAAGCAAAGACCAGTTTTGTCTTTAGAGTAAATTTTTATGATGTGTGGGTTTTTAATTATGTATATATCAAAATAAGAAGCACTGGTGGTCTAGTGTATTATATCCCAGCTGCTAGCCAAAGGTTGGCAGTTTGAGTCCACTAGGAACTCCACAGGAGAAAGATAGACAGTCTCCTAAAACCAGATTGAGGGGTGCCATGAGCCAGAATCAGTTCAGGCAGTGAGTTTTTCCAGTTTGGGTATTAAAAATACATTTATATGTAGTATTTCCAAACCACAAATAGAAATAAGATTTATCTTTAAGATACTGTTTTAGAAGGGCTTTAATAATGAAAACTTAGTGGGGAGGGGGGTAGGTGAAGGTGTTCAACTCACATCTTAACTGATTTACGATGGACTGTTTGGAATGGGATTGTGTTGTATACCAGAAACTACCTATACTTCCCTTCATTCAGATCTTTTTCTTAACGTCATCATGTTCTATTTTGTTTAGCTTCATCTGTTTTTTAAATTTTTCTATATTCTATCCTTTCTTCATTAACACTTGATTCTTTTCTCCCTAGAAACCTTGTAACAGCCTTGTGGTAAGACTCATTTCTCTCTTACTTGAAATCACCCTGCCATTCCTTGTAAGAAATCAGAAAATTTGTATTATAGAATAACTGTAGGCATTAGGGAGTTCTGATGGCCTGGTGAGTAAGGAGTTGCACTACCAACCAAAGGCAAGTGGTTCAAATCCTCCAGCTGCTCCAATGGGAGAAAGATGGTCAGTTTCCGCCTCTTACATAAATTAACTGCCTCTGAAGACTCACTAGAGGATCAACTGTTGGTCATTTTCACCCCTATAGCATATAATAATAGTAGCCATTAACTCTCAGATCATAATAAAATACTGTTTAATGTTAAACTAAATAAAAATTACTAGTAGAATCTGTGAAACTGTGTAACTGTAAAATGACTATGTTGTCCATTGAGTCGCCTGCGACCCATAGCAGTTATGTACAGCAGCTCTGAAGCCTGCCCTGTCATGAGCCAGTCTCACTAATTCTGTCATACAAACCCCCATTGTCCCAGTCGCTGTATCAATCCATCTCATCTGGGGCCTTCTATACCACTACTAAACTACTATAAAGGATCTATATAGGGAGCTCTGGTGGCCTAGTGGCTGGAAGCTCCATTGCAATCCCAAAGACATACTGTTTGAGGCTACTAGCTGCTCTGTGGGAGAAAGATGGGTAGTCTTCTCCTGTGCAATCACTCCCTTTGAAAACCTGGCCGAGGGTCGGCTATGGATGGGTTCCGACTCTTTGGTACACAATGACAGCAACAAGGGATATGTGTATAGCTTTTTACTTATAAAGTAGAGCTATATTTAGAGGGGGGGAAAAGGTGAAATAACAGACACAATTTTTCTTTAAACTATTATTAATAGAGAGAAGAAAAAGCAAGAAGAAAATTATCAAAAGAAGCCAGGAACAGACTTGTTTGGAAGTGCTCAACTTCCTCTGGAAGAAGAAAAAATGGCAAAAGAAAGAAAGAAGAAATTGAAAGAATTATTAATACAAATTTCCAAGGACAATTACCAGGTGGGAATTTTAGCATCTTTTTCTTTTTTCCCCCAGAATCCCGTAGTGTAAATAACAAGGAGCTTCATCAGAAGTTGAGGAGAGGCCACAAAACTCCCCAGGATCACAAATAACTAAAGTGCCCACATAGTTTGTTCTGTGCTGCTCAACTAATGAGCAAGGCATCCCTTTTTCTGAGCTGGTCGTTTGTATTCTCCAGCATAACCCTAGAAAATTAAGAGATAAATTTGGGATTTTTCTATCCTCTTCAAGTAGGATCTAAGGTAGCTCCCTGGTAGTTTTTGTAAAGCTTTGCTTTGTTTTTGACACTTAGATATTTAAAGTCTTAAAGATTATTCAGAAGATACAAAAACTTTTTATTTGCCCGTATAAGCCCCAATTCTGCTTCTCCTGTAATGGTTTCTCTGTTTTGTTAGTCTTCTTGTATTTTCTCTTCCTGGGAAATTAACTGGCCAACTTTTTATAGATAAATGAGCATCCTCCCTAGGCCACTAAAGCAGATAGTTTAGGCGTTTCTTCCAATGAATTGAAATTGGTAAAAGGTATATTGGGCCTTATGACGTTTCAGGTAAAAGGAATTACTTGAGGGGTATGTAAATTAGAAGGATGAATGAAAAAAGATAAATATGTATATTTTTATATCTCCCACAGTACCTGCCCAGGGCCTTCAGTATTTCTGAAATTCAGTGAAAGTTAATGGTATGAATTCTTAAATGAATGGATTTCAGAAGAGAAAAGAAAATGTCAGGAAGATTATTAAGGGAACTTTTTAAAGACTTTGAAAATCAGTAATAAAGATTTGAACATGATGTGGGTAACTAAGTTAAAAGAAAGAGGTAGTCAAAATAGTAAAATAATTAGACATGATTAGTGATACATGTTCGAGTGTTCAGATATTAACATCTAGAATTTGGTCATTTTTTGCTGTAAAAATTAAAGAGGGAGGTGCAATAGAAAGAAATGTTGAAGAGTTGGGATGACATTCTCAGAAAAATTGTTAAGGACTCTTTGATGTCTTGTCCTACATGACAGATAGAGTTGGTATGACATCCTATAAAGACAAGTCAAATTTCAAAGAGAAAATTAAAATTTGAGTAAGGAACAGTGGACCATCTTGAGAGGGTATAAAGTAGAAATGCCATGATACGTCCTTACCCAACCAATGAGAAACAAATAAGGCATAGTCTCCCTAGAAAATTAATTTTCTAAGTTTATCAGCATTCACTTTACAAAAAGAAATCATTTCTATTTTAGGCAGAACTGGTAAAATGAATTCATACACATATACATAGTTGTTGTTATGTGCCATCAAGTCACCTGCAACTCATAGCAACAACCCTGTGTACAACAGTCCTAAACCCTGTTCTATCCTGTGTTAACCTTGTTGTCTCTGACACACCTATGCCCATTACCCTAGTCATTGAATCCATCTCATCAAGGGTCTTCCTCTCTTGTGCTGTTCCTCCATCCTCCCAAGTATGACATCCCTCTCCAAGGAATGGTCCCTCCTTGTAACATGTCCAAAGTATGTTAGACGAAGATTCGGAATCCTTGCCTCCAAGGAGCAGACTGGTTTCACCCTCTCTAGGAGGAACTTATTTCTTCTTCTAGCAATCCATGGTATATTCAGTACTCCTCTCCAGCACCACAGCTTGAAGACTTCAGTTCTTTTATCATACCTAGTCATTGTCCAGCTTTCTGACATATACCAAGTAACTGCAAAGAATATAGCCTAGATCAGATGCACCATAGTCTCCAAACTGACATCATTGCTCTTCAGTACTTTGGAGAGGTCTCTGACAGTGGACTTTCCCAAGGCAATTTGTCTTTTACTTTCCTGGCTGCTGGTACCAAGAGTGTTGATTGTATAGCCAAGCAAACTAAAGCTGTGAACAATCTCAGTCTCTTCACCATCTTTTAAGCTGCTAGTTAGCCCAGTGATGAGAATCTTTGTCTTCTTGATGTTAAATTCCAGTCCATACTTAAGGCTGCAGTCGTTGACCTTCTACAGCAAGCACTTCAGGTCCTCCTCAGTTTCAGCTAGAAGGGTTATGTCATCTCCATAATGTAGATTGTTGATGAGTCTTCCTCCAATCCTGATGCCACATTTGTCCTCATAGAGCCCAGCCTCCTGTATAATCTGTTCTGAAGATAGATTGAAAAGGTATGTAGATCGGACACATCCCTGTCATACACCCTTCCCAATTTTAAACCATGCATTGTTTCCTTGCTTTGTTCTGATGACTGCCTCCTGGTCCAAGTATAGGTTTTTCATAAGCATGATCAAGTGTTCTGGAATTTCCATTCTTTTCAGAGTTAGCCACAGTTTATTATGATCCATATAGTCAAATGCCTTTGCATAATCAATGAAACACAGAAAGACATTCCTCTTGTGCTCTCTGCTTTCAGCCAAGATCATCTAACATTAGCTATAATACCCCTAGAACCATGGCCTCTTCTAAACCCAGACTGCACTTCTAGCAATTCTCTGTTGATATGCTGTTCCAGTTGTTTTTGGATAATTTTCAGCAGAATCTTGCTTGCATGTGTTCTTAATGCTAATATTCAATAATTTCCACACACTATCACCTTTCTTTGGAATGGGAACAAATATAGATCCCTTCCAGTCAGTTGGCTAGGTGGTTGTCCTCCAGGGCTTCCATTTCCAAATTAGCAGGCCTTCAAAAACCATCTGTACAATAGAGTACCCTTAGACTAGCAGATATGGCAACTGAGGCTGAGCCCTCAAGTATGAAAACACAAAAGAGGAGGAACCTTTGTAGACAGCACTAATGATTAGAACATGGAACTTGAGAACCATGAATGTAGGAAAACTGGATATTGTTAAGGAAGAAATGGGACACATAAATATTGAAATATTAGGTATTGCCACAATGAGATGGACTGGCATGGGGCATTTTGAGTCAGAGGATCATATAATCTACTATGCTGGAGATGAAAAGGTGAGGGAAAATTGGAATTGCTTTCATAGTTAAAGAAAAAGTCATTTTTAGATCTGTCCTGAGATATAATATTGTGGTGACAGGATACTATCCATACACATACAAGGAAGTCCAGTGAATACCACTATCATTCAAATACTTGTACCAACAACCAGAGCCAAAGAGGAGGAAATAGATTTCTACCAACTTTTGAGACTGATCGAACATGCAGTCAAGACGCATTAATAATAATGGGTGACTGGAATGCAAAAGTTGGAAACAGAGAAGCAGTATCATTAGTTGGAAAGCATGGACTTGGTGACAGAAATGAAGCTGGAGATAGAATTTTGTACAATCAACGATTTATTTATTTCAAATACATTTTATAAGAAACAAACACCGGCCATGCACATGGATTTCACCTGATGGTATGCATAGGAATCAGATTGATTACATTTTTGGAAAGAATTACTGGAGCAGCTCAATAATAGCTGTGAAAACTAGGCCAGGTGCTGACTGTGGAACAGACCACCAACTACTCATATGCAAGTTCAAGCTAAAGCTGAGAAAAATGAAATCAAATCCATGGGAACCAAAATTTGACCTTGAGTCTATCACACCTTAATTTCAAAACCATTTCAGGAACAGGTTTGAGGCCTTAAATACTAATGAGCAAAACCAGATGAGCTATGGGAGAATATCATCCAGGAAGAATGCTGGGGTCATTACAAAGACAGAGGAGGAAGAAAAGACTAAGGTGGATGTCAGAAGAGATTCTGAATATTGCACTGGAGTAACGAGAAGCCAAAGCAAAGGGAAGAAATCAAGATATTAAGGAGGCGAACAGAAGATTTCAAAGGGCAGCATGGGAAGACTAATGTATTATAATGAAATGTGCAAAGAGTTGAAGTCAGAAAACCAAAGGGGCCAAATTCACTCAGCATTTCTTAAGCTGAAGGAACTGAAGAACAAATTCAAGCCTCAAGTTGCAATACTTAAGGATACTTTGGGCCGAATACTAAATGATCCAAGAAACGTTAAAATAAAATGGAAAAAGTATAAAGTCATTTTACCAAAAGGAATTGACGGGCACAGAAGTATTTCATTAAACAGTATATGAGCAAGAGCCTGTGGTGATGAAGGAAGTTCAAGGTGCTCTGAAAGAATTGGCAAAAAACAATGCCCCAGGATTTGACAACATACCAATTCACATACTTCAACAAACAGACTCTGCTTTAGATGTGCTCACCAAGTTGTTACATATTTTAAAAAATTGGTGACTCACCTACAGTAGATTGCTCAATTTTAAAAGTACCATTGAGTATGTTTAAAATAGGAAAATGAGAAATTAGAAATTACTTTCACTCTGCCACAGATTTTGCTTGATATGAATCTTTTGTTTTTAGATGCCATTGAGTTGAGTATGAGTCATAGCACCCTGTGAACAACAGATTTGAAACTTGCTCTGTCCTTTGCCATCCTCATTGCTATTGACATAACGCAAGACCATTGCAGCAATCTTTGTCTTATTCCATGTGGTTGAGGGTCTTCCTGTCTTTCACTGATCCTCCACCTTTCAAGCATGATGTCCTTCTCCAAGTAATGACCTCTCCTAGCAATAAGCCAAAACTATTGAGACAAAGCTTTGTCATCTTTGCCTCCAAGGAGCACCCTGGCTATACTTTCTACAAGACTTACCTGTTGGTTCTTTTGACAGTCCATGGAATTTTTAGCACTATTCTCCAAAATGAAAGCTCTAAGACGTCAAATCTTGTTCTGATATCCTTATTCATTGTCTAGCTCTCAAGCAGCTTCTGAACCCAGCCTGCCTTTCTAGCAGTTCTCTGTTGATACACAAGTTGTTTTTGGATAATTTTCAGTAGAATCTTGCTTGCATGTGATATCAATGATATTGTTCGATAGTTTCTGCACTCTTTTGGGTCACCCTTCTTTGGAATGGAAACAAATATCGATCTCTTCCAGTCGGTTGGCCAGCTGGCTGTCCTCCAGATTTTTTGGCACAACTTAGTGAACACATAAAGGGCAGCGCCAATTTGT